GCCAGAGGAGAGATTATGATAGTGCTCAGAAGTCACCTTTTGGTAAGCACATCTGTTCCTACTCAAGATAGCCCCAAAATCAGTCAGTTAATCTCTGCAACTGGATTAATCCTCCATGTTTAGAGCTTAAACAGCCTTTTAGCAAGCAATAAGTTTGCTCTTTGTGGAGTAAACTTTGCATTGGGATGTCACAATCCCTTCAGGTGGGTGTTTGCTGGGCTTTGATAGGCTCCAGCGGCAAATCCTTTGAACATGTCTGATCTGTCTCCCATTGGCGTGATCACATAATCTGCTTTGCCTACTTGCTGGATTGCGTAGAATATATGGGACCAGGAGAAGATAAGGAAGATGCTTTTCAGGTTGGGCATAGACATATACAGTATATTGACATGAAAGTCTTGGGCAACAACACCATATGATGAATGAACACCAACTTTCACTATGAAGCAAGGAAAAACAAGGAAAGACATCTAGAGAGAAATGGGAAATTGCAATGGGCTGTGAGAATAAGCTTGGGAGACAGGAGGAAGAGCCGCAGCCAGGGCAACAGTCAGATAAGAGATATCTCAGCCTACAGAAGGAATGGGACTGGAGAAAGCGTTTCAAAGGGACCCTCCCTAGTTTTCTTGAAAGTAAAGGCAAGGGAAGGGAGAGGTGTTTTCAGACTTGCAAGGTTCTGTTACTATAATCTTACAATAAATTTAGTGTTAGTACTCATGGTTTTAGTTTCCTGTCTAGACTACCTCAAAAGGTGACAGAAATAAAAAAGGGGAATTAGAATTGTTTTTAAGAAAATCAGAAGTTGTCAAGGTACTCATTTAAAAAGACAATTCATTAGGTCTTTTTAGTTGACTCACACATGATGCACACTAGAGGAACAACTCTTAGGCATTTCTGGTTGTGCCAGCCCCAGCTGAGATGTCACTGTTTCTGGAAAGAAACAATATTTCTGAACATATCTGTTTACAACCTGGAGTTCATGCATGTCTCCTAAGATGACATGAAAGTGTCTAGAAGGGAAACTGCCTCTGAAACTGTTAGGAGTCAACACCCTGCCAAAAAGTGTCCTATCCTTCATGCAGATCTTCCTAATTATATGTGTCAATCAAACCCAGAAAAAGTCAAAAAGAATTTCTGTGCAGTCAAGGAAGGGGAGAGAGGGGCACATGCAGAAATTAAGGGCTCCTCCTTCTAAAACTTAGGACTTAAGTATTGATATGTAGTATCAAAGTCTTCTTACAATAATTTTTGTTCTCTCAATCATATTTTTCTGGAGTATTTTTCATCATTTTAAATTCTCACTGAGAAAGTACAAATTCTCTTTTTCTTTCAGATGAACTGAATATTCTTTAGGTGGGGGTAGTGAGTAACCCCCCAAACTGAAACCAGTAGTTGGATGGGATCAAGGAAATGGAAAGAATGTCCTTGGAAGAACTGTGGACTGTGCACTGTTATAGGTTGATCCAGAGAACCTTTGTCTATGCAATCATCAAGAGTCAAACCCCATTCAGTTGAATCAATCTACCTATCTACATGCTGATCATCTCTACAAAGACCAGGAGTTCAATCAACAGCATTTATCCTGCAATAATAAAACTGGAATGCAGAATTATTCACTGTTTCCATGAGAATGGTTGCAGAATGATGTCTAGCAATAAAGAACTCAGACTTACGATCCAACAGGCTCATCCAGCCATTGTACAAAATAGGCACAAGAGATTCCTTCCTTCTGGAATTTTTTGATGCATGGATCCGAAGGAAAGAGAGAGAAATGGGGGTGGGGGGAAGACATAATAATGTAAAACCAATGTATGCTTTTTTTGTAGTGGTCATGTTGTTTCCAAAAAAGACTATCATAGAATTCAGAAAAGGATGGAACTTGATAACTTAAAAAAAAAACAAATACTCAAAGCAGCGTGGTTGGATATCTTTTTAATGTGGAAACCCAAGAAGCTACAAGAATTTCTCTGCTGCCACCTTCTGGTTGAAATCTTCCAAGGTCTTTTCTTCTCGTTGCAAGTTTCTCATGTTTGTGTTCCCATGCCTGTAACAGACATTCATTTTTAAAGGTCACATTAACATCTGTTCATATTTTTCTGCACATTTTTTCAAACATATGTGAGTCAGGCTTGGACTGGTTTTGTTTTGTGTTTGAGATGGATGTATGGGTATTTGCAGTTCAACCGTTGCACAAATATTTTTAAAACATTCAAGAAAATATATGCACAATCAGATAGCACATACCGTATATTAGATATAAAATCTTCTAGGACTTTGTTCCCTGTTGCCTTGATTAACTCTCCTAGGATGATTACTTCTAGGATCACTTCTAAAATTTCCATCACCTCGAAAAAAGCAAACCTCAATTTAACCTTGACATTTTGGGGCATCATTCCAAGAAAAGCATTGGGCTTTGGCCACCCACCTTCTTTATTTTTTAAGGATGGTTGCAGGACCTATATCAGTGTTTTTCAATCTTGGCAACTTTAAGATGAGTGGACTTCAACTCCCAGAATTCCCCAGCCAGCCTTAAAGTTGCCAAGGTTGAAAAACATTGGCATACATGATCATTTTGGAGACTGATACTTTGCTTTTCAGGGTATCAGCTTCCTAGGGTTGGGTTTTTTTGTTTTTGTTTTTTAAAGTCAAGCTGGGTAGGGACTCTAGCCAAAATCTAGAAAGGGTTTTTCAGCACAGTCATGATGCTTACAACTCCATAGAATAGTCCTTAAAGCAACATGAAATAAAATATTTGCACCCGGCAATGAAAATTACTCTTAACAGAGTATTAGTACCGGGAGTGTGTGTGCACCTTCAAGTCAGTGTTGACCGCCTGGACAAGTCCCTGCAGTTTTCTTGGCAAGATTTTTCACAAATGGCTTTCCATTGCCTCCTTCCTAAGGCAGAGAGAGAGAGGGACAGGCCCAAGGTCACCCAGCTGGCCTTGTGCCTAAGATGGGACTAGAATTCACAGCCTCCTGATTCCTAGCCTTAACCACTACACCAAACTGGCTTTTTAGTACTGGAAGAGGCAGGTCCAAATTTCCAAACACCCATAAATCTCACTGGGTGACTTTGGGTTAGTCATTATCTCTCAACCAGGGTTGATCTGATCATAAACTGAGAGGAAAGGAGGCATTCTGGAGGGAGGACAGGGATAGAAACAAAATGAAATTTTAAAGATGTAAGCCAGACTAGATAAGTTCTGGATTCTATCAGCAGCAAATAACAACATTAAAAAAAAAAAAAACAGCATCAACCATAAATACAACATTTGCTTTATTTGTGGCAGTTTCTTCTCCAGTTCTTTACAATATAAATTACTTGGTCCTTCAACGACATTGAGCAACACTTAGTCACTGATTATATTACATGAGTTATGCTCTTATTCAGTTGCCAGCATTACTCCTGAAGGCTGTAATACAGAGAGCTAAATATCCCTTGATAGTATGGGAAGAGGTGTTCCTTCACTTATTAATCAATCTCATTGTTTTAAAAATCTGGATTCTAAGAGGAGAATAAACCAGAAGAAAAATAATTTGCTAGTGTGGGAGCAGGAGAACCAGTAGGAGAATCAGCAGATTTGCTGTCCCCAAGAGTAGATTGTACCACCATTCATTTACCCACCCACCTGTTAGATGGACCACACAGCACAGAGAGCCATCTCTAGCCAACCACATTTTAGCTTCACATACTACACGAACCCATCTTGTGTGGTTACTTATCATTTATTGTGTGAGTGTGAGTATGTGTTGTGCGGATTCCCCAGAATGGGTCAAATGGGTAAACCATAATTTAATCATGCATAAATACATTGTGCAATAGTGCCCTGGATTTTTTCTGGACTGATCTGTGTGATTGATCATTGATGGATAAGAAGTTGCCATTGGGCAATATGAGATATGGGGCCATGTATGAACCCTCAAAAGCCTTGACGTAGATACTTGTTCTTGGTTGAGCCTGCAAGTGAACAAGAACAACAGGTCATTCCTATAAGACACAACCCAAAGAAGTCTCTCTTACTTTCAGCCAGGACATCTATTAGGTTGACAAAGCAGAAGAAGAGGGAAAAAGTAGAATGATCTTTATATCTATCATAAAATCCTGAAGAAGTCTCCCAGTGTTTGTGTCTTTCTTCATCTGCTCCCTCCAAAAGTGCAAAGAGAGACAGAAACAACAGACTTCTGGCTTTGCATCTCCTGGAAAGTAAGGCAGGGTGATTCAAACAGGAAAGGCAAATGTATGGATAGTTGTGACAGTGGGGATGAAACCCACTGAGGGCATCTTGTCTAGATTTGACACCAAATGCTGAAGATAACTATATTGCGCAAGTTCTGAGACTGGCCCATTGATTCCCTGGACCTTATTCAACTTCCCAATTTTAACCATTAGCTACCTTAAACAAGGATCAAAGCAACAATTCCACAAGATCTACAGTATGTGGTGGTGGGAGGCTAATTGGTTTTGCTTTCTATACATCTCCAAATTCCCAAAGAATCATTGGTTATGGGTATCACTTAAGTGCTGGTTCCTGTTTTAGAACCAGTTTTCATGGCTACATGTGCTTTTTCATAAGCATGGCCTTACTTCTATTTTTCCCCTTTCTTTTGCAAATATGGCACTGCCATAAATCCCAATTCTGGTTCACCCACTGCAGTAAGCTGTGATTTGCTTAATTGTGGTTTTATTGAATACATTTTAATTGGATAGGGTTGTACAACATGGATTACAAACTATGATGGCTGAGTTCACTCATTATGAGAAACCAAAGCCAGACAAACCAGATTGTGGCTTAATATGATGTGTGAATCCAGAAAACTCTGTTTGTCTCTTACAAAACCTTCTCCTCCCTTCCTTTGAATCTTTCCATCTTGCAACCCAATCTCATAGCTTCCAGTTCCCAGAGGTAATGGCTCTGCTGTCATAGCTTCTTTCAGAACAAGGGTATGTAAATATCACACACACACACACACAAGGCCAAAAACAGCACAGAGTCCATGTCAGGAAACTTAGAAGCAACAAACCACGCCAAAAATTTATTGAGAGAACAGAACTTGAGACTTCTTGGCAGAGACTTTGCTCAGCAACCAAGAACAATGGTCATAATCCATACAATCTTGATCTCAGGCAGGCAAAGAAAGGAACAATGAATTTGCAGATCTTGTGGTTGTGCCAAGGAACTAGTTTAATGTAACAAAAAGATAATTTAGGGAGAGGGCAAAAAAAATGGACTGATGTTGCAGGATCATACTAAGGACGAACAGAGAGTCAGATGGCAGGGAGACGGTTTTGGGAGAACACCAAACGTTTCTTCACCATAGGAAAGGGTGCCTCCTGATTGATCCAAAGCATTCCCAATGCAGTCTTCAGAGGCTTCAGGCAAAGAGGTTTCAAGCCAGGGATACATTATATGCTCTGTAAAGGCAGGGAATTAGGATCAGGGTTGATCGTGCATGAGAATCTGGCATATTTCTTATCCACAATTCTATTCTTCCATTGTTTTTCATGCAATCAGATGCACTAGGATAAGGAGGTGGAGTTGGCAGCACAGTTGCAGACTTACCTTCCCCGCTTTTTCCCTCGGCATCTTGGAAATTTCCCATGTTTACCACCTGGAAGGGAAGAGGGAGCAAACAAAGTATTTGAGGAACGCTCCTTTCTAGAGTTAAGAACAGAATGGGAAGAGGTAGCATGTCAGCTGTCTCTAACATCTAAAGCAGTGTTTCTCAACCTTGGCAACTTTAAGATGCGTGGACTTCAACTCCCAGAATTC